ACGGCTAATGAAATGACCTAGGAATGGGGTTAACTACAAGCTTATCTACCCCATTGAATTTTGCTAAAGAGCAAGCAAATTTTTGTGCTATGCGCTGAACTGGCATAAATAAAGAAGGTCCACAGTGTTCATAGTCACGTCTCCAAACCTCAGCTGGTTTGCCAAAGTGCCCTTTGTCATTGTCAGTTTTGTACCACCAAACAACAGCAAAAACATGCTGACAGAATTGTCCATTAAGCTTAATACTGTGCAAAAGGTACGAATTAACTATTCCAGGTCTTCTTGGTGCAGTAGCTTCAATTGAGCCATTATCAGTAGTCCAGGAGGCCATTATTCGAACAGATCTCAGTTTGCGGCAGTCCATTTTCGAGCCAAATTTCTCAGTTCCAAGAACAACACTAGTGAACTTGCGTGTGACACATGATGTAAGTTCAATTTCTTCAGTAGGGTATAATGCCTTATAGCATTCCAAAAGTACCTTTACCTCATCTTCATCCAATGCAAAATGCTTAAATGAGCTGGGAAGACTAACAAGTGTTAGATCACTCCACTGAAAGGCTCCCAGACTCAAGCAACAAGCACTGTAAAACAGTTCAGAAGCTGTTTTCACAATAAAGCTCTCAGGTGAACCATTTCCCTCTTGAGCAAAAAATGGCAAAAAGTTCTGAAAGTCACATGGAAATTGAACATCCCAGACGAACCGCCCAGCTAGAAGTTTACGCATTAACTGTACCTCAACAGATCGTCCATTCACTTGCATTGATCCAAGAATTCCATTAAAACGCTCAAAGCTAAAACACCAAAAGGAATGCACTGGACCACAGTCAATAACACATTCTTTTAAATGGCAGTGGAGATGCATATTTGGTGTCACAGCCTGTTTGCCATACAAACATTCAAATCTCTCTCCAAACTTCACAAATAGCAGATCAGCTTTCAAAATGTCAGTCTTGGACAGGACTGGTGTACAAAGATACTGGCAAGCAAGAACAAATGTCTGCCAGCACCTTAAATGGCTTTCTGGTAACAGGCCTTTTAAACAAAACATGGAGTAAATTAAGGTCCAGTTCTTCCATTGTGATGCTGTGTAGCCACCATAATTGGATGCTATTCTTTGTGGCAATCTTCCGATTCCTGTTCCAACATCAAATGAATTTATACGTTCTTCCAATACTTTAAGATCTTTCTTTGATAATAAGTTTTTCTTAACCCAGAACTTGAAAACATTCTTTGCAGTGCCTAGAAACAAATTATGCATGGGGTCAATTGCAGTGAACCTCACTGCATCAAAGTATTCAAGCTGTAACAGGCAACTATAATAGACCCCATACTTTGTAGCCAATGACTCATGCTTTGTTTGGGTAGAAGCTTTTCTAACCATCTCTGCGTGTAAGCGATGACTGCTATTATAGCGCGGAGGCCACATGTTTCTATCAAAGCCAGAGTAGTCCGTTTTCTCGCCAAAGCTCCCTGGAAAATACTTAAAACATTTTGAGCAGCCTCGATGTGCTGAATGACCTTTGAAACCGCACAGTTTCCGCACAGCAGGTAGATCGGCTGAAGCAAGAAGGAGGGCACCTCGGTATTTTAGGGGTATTGTACTCTGTCTAGTTGAAAGTTTAACGCCTTTCCAAAATGCCTTGAGCTCATCAACAATTGGTGCCAAAAATGTGTTTAATGACTTGGGCTCTTTACTCATTTCAGGTACAATTCCAGCTACTATGACGTTCTCCCATTTGAACCGTTCTTCTCTTGGTAGATTTAGTAGAACTAAATAAATTACACCAATGGATCTGTCACATCTTCTCTTGAACGGCTGAAACCAGTCCACATTGATCGCGAATGCAAGATTTCTAGGGGCATTCAGAAAGTTACTCCCTTTATATGTAAGGAAATCTCTCCAGATGCTACCATCATAAACATCAGCTACAATGTTGTCATCGATTTGACGTTCACGCCACTGCTCACACATTTCAGGAAGTCCTGGTCTTTTAAGTAATGCTTCCACTTGATCAATAATACTGTTGAGACAGTAAAGTTTGTGTGGATAAAAACACACCTTTCCACTGCCCAGGACTACTTTTCTTGCCAATGCTGTTCCACACTCCCTCTTTGAACCCTTTTTAAATGGTTTGTGGGAACAGATGTTTGAAACAATCTGACCTCCAACATGCCTTGTGCAACTCTCCAGCTTATAAAGTGATGCACATTTTGGACAGACTGCAAACTTGACAAAGTTATCCCGCTTTAAGTTCACAAACTGTCGAAGTAAGCACAGCGAACTTGGCAGCATTAGAGCCATTTGACAAAGGTATTCACTGTTACAAGTGATTCCCACTGCATGTAAAAACTGGAACATAAAACGCAACAGCCACTCTAGACCATTGTCACTTAGCTTGCATGTAGCTTGCCAAAATAACAAAAAATAAATCAACCACTGAAGTAATGTAGTCAGTGTCTGTGTCGTTGATCGGTGCTGGATTGGTTCTGGTAGGGGTTCATCATGGCCCACATCTTGAAGAAGATCATCAACATCTTCGTGCCATTCTTCAGTATCTTCTTCGTCACTACAACCACTTTCACTGCAACCACAGTCATTTTCGCTTTCAGAACAATCAGTGTCAGAAGACAAGACCTTTATAAGTGAAAAAAAAAAATGTTTATTAACACATCAAGTCCTAACAAGAAGCTAGCTTGAGGGAGCTTTAACTGTAATGTTAATGTATGGTTCAGTTTCAACTGTTTCCCCCACCCCCCCGATTGCATAGGTTGGTTCAACTCAAGTGTTGATGTGTAGGTTATTAAGACTTGTAAACAATTTATGTTCACCACAGTTTAAACAACTGCAGCTTTTAAATTTTAGAGATAATTCTTGTCTTACTAGTCAGTTAGAAATTGTAGAGAATTTTTTCTGAGAAATAGGCAATCTTCTCTACGGTAAACCGAGAAACAGCGTACTTTGCAAGAACAACGAAAAGTTTAATTTTTGATTTTCCCTACCTCGGTACCCCCCGGGACAAGACTGCTTCAAACGGTTCGCGGGGTTGCCTGGGGGGATGGTTACAGGTTGAATTGAACCATACATACAATGTAAATTTGAGCCTGATTTGTTTAATACTTGTTGAGTGATCTGGATTTGAAAAGGTAAATTTTCACAAAGAATGTATGGGATTATTAGGGGTTTTGCCACAGTTTTTGCAAGCTAATACCTCCTTAATATCGCACGAAAATAGCTTTCAGAGTCTAGAGTGAGTTTGTCGCGTCGCGTTCTCCAAGCAAAGCTGTATGCTCAATGACGAAAAATGTAAACAATGACGTCAGCACCAATCTGCCTATACTTTAGATGTACCTGACTGGCCGATTCACTTTCTTCTACATGTATGTCATCATTCATTGCACTTGAGAAATCAGCGTCATCATCAAAGCTGGAGATATCTTTATAATCATCAACCTGGTCGCAACCTGTCAATGTTAAAGGGACACTATCATGGCTGATCATAGAAATCTCTATTTTCTTATTTCCACATTATATTGCCAAATGCCACCAAATATACATTCAAATAAATTAAAAGATCCCAATAAAATTTATCCAGCCTTCATTTTGTTTCAGTTTTGCTGCAGAAATGTGAAGTTGAAAAGAGTTCAAAGCAATTTCGTGCAGTGTTCAAATGGTTTCATGGAAGGGTTGCCTCCCAAGTGATGATATACATTATTATAACTCCCGGCATAGTAAATCGAACGTTCGAAAATCGAACTCAATCGAACACCAGACTTTCAGTGAGTTCAATTTCTGAACAAATCGAATTCAATCGAACAAATCGAACTAAATCGAACTCAATCCATCTGATTGTGTTTGATTGAGTTAGGTTTAAAATGGATTGTGTTTGATTGGCTCTACCTATACAAAGCAAGTCCAAATCAAGCCCATCAAAGCAGGTTTTTTTAATTTATTCAATAACAGAAACCATTTATAAACTGTGCACGGCGGTTAGAGAACAGAACAGAACAGGAGAGAACAAAGCTCTCATCACTCCTGCAGGCGTATTCCGAAATTATTATACCCTTTCCTATTTAGCTAACTTACAACTGTGGCAAGACAACTCGAAGGATTACTCAAGGGTTGCAATTCGGAATGCACGGCCTTTCTCGCCTATTTTCTTAAAAACGTCGCCATCCTTGATGTCAAAGCGGCATTCCTGGTAGCCTTTTACTATGTACAGTATTTGAAGGTTACAATCCACAGTGCATTTGAAGCCATGAGGAATTTCTACGTGCGTTACACTCCAGGCTGAAGAAACTTGTGCTTCCAAGATCTGGTTATCAATTTTCAACACCTGCTACACAAATCACGAGTTTAAAAATCGAACGTTCGATTGGGTTCGATTGATTTTTTCTCTTTTCGGTGAGTTCGATTTCGTTCGATTGCCAAACTCAATTGAACTCAATCCATGAATTGAGTTCGATTTCATTCGATTTTAAAAGTTCGATTGAAATTCAGTTTGATTGGGTTCGATTTGCTATGCCGGGTATAACTAGAAGAGAAAAAATTGGCATAAATTGGATCTGCTCCTGCTCAAACCAACTCAGCCCTATCTTTCCCTGTACATTCAGTCATCAGCAGTTACCACGGCAACAGTATATGATTGTATGACTGTAAAACTTTCTCTATGGCACCATACATGCTGATTGGAAAACATTTTTCTTTAACTTATAGTAAAAAATAGTTTGGGGGCTAAAAATGTTGTGAAAACGTGATTTACCCTGAAGAATGGACGAGAAAGCCTTCTGCAAAAAAAGATTATGCGCCGCCATGCCTGTTTCCCGCGAGTGTCGTGCGTGATTCGCGCAGCTAGAACCCAGTCTTAAAACTGAAACTGTACGTCCAGACGACACTACTGCATACAATTTTTATGTTATGAACGGTAAAAATAGTTTATAACCTCTACATACCTTCCCTAGATAAAGCTGCTTCAAAATCTTCATCACTGGAAGATTCGGATGGCTCATCACGGAACTCATGCATTTGATCATCAGGGTCATGCAGTCTTGCTTTCTTTTCATCATCTCCCAAACTGTGCAAACGTCCCGCGTCATCTTTCGTTATCCAACGTTCACTTTTCACATCATAATAAGCCTGTCAATGTTTCCAGAAAGTCGACCTAGATAAGTATTCATTGCAATGTCCACACCACACTCTAGTTTGTTTTCTCAGACGGGAAGACATTTTCCAGCGAAATACATTCACGCTCGCGACAAAATATGCAAGTTCTCAATGATCACTCGTCTGGTGCGAGATTCTGTTCCATGTCATAATGGCGTGTTATCGGCGTGACATCGTGACAAGCCGCCAACCAATCACGCACTGTCTTTATAGCAAAAGCCAATCAAAAACCATCATTTATGGCGCGGATTTGGCGGTTCGCTTTGTCGGCATTTGTCGGCGTGACATGAAAGCAGTCGTATTTCCTGTGTTGCGCGTCCTTTCGTCAGTTCAGAAGCCTCTTGCTTGAGTTCGTGGCCAGATTCGTGATAGACTGCACTCTTCATAATGGAAGATCAATATGTCGTTTTACTTGAAAGGGTTGTGGCTGAAAATGTTCGTCTCAGAGAAGCAATGGAAGCGCGAGACAACGAACAACGACGAATGTTTGAGGAACTTGCTTCAAAAATAGAGAGCTCTAACACTGAACCAGAAAGATCAGGACGATCGAGTAGGAAAAGAAGGAGGAAAATCTCAGTCCCGCAGCAGTGTCGCGTAAGTATAAATTTTTCTGTTACTTTTCTGTTATCAGAAATACTTTGGAGCGACTGATTGCGACCACGAATTGTAAATTCAAAGTTTAAGTTTACTTGCTCATGCTCGATTACTCGCTGGGTGACAAACAAAACACAGCGTGACATGGATTGAGCTTCGATCTTCATTTATGTTCTCCGTTCTTTAGTGACATTTGTGACAGTTTATGCTAAGCGTTCGTTAGTACTATATCCTCACTGTCTACCACTTAACACATCGTGAAACTAAGTTATGGGAGAGAGATCCGCGGATTGTTGTGGAAAGAGGTAGACAGCAAGAATAGATCACGATATGTGAGGAGTTGTCAACCAACACCAGGGGAGGAGGGTGGGGCGAACCTTGATAAGTCGTCTCGGCGGTCGGCGCTGTGACACAGTGAAATCAAAGCCACGTGGTGTATTCTATTTATCAGGGGAGCCCGCAGTGCATTGATGCGTCCCAAAGGACGGCGGAGTATTTTACTGGTCGTTTGGCGATGCGTTAATTCATTATTCAGTGAGAATAGTACTATATCCTCACTGTCTACCACTTAACACATTGCGAAACTAAGTTATGGGAGAGAGATCCTTTCCTTGCCATTCCCTGAGGCAGCCTGCTATAACCTAGGTCTCCGACCCTCCCCCCAAAACACATCGACCTTATAATTTCAATACCCAACACTCAACACCCAATACTCCATAACTCAATAAAGATTTATTAACTGACAACAAACTAATAACCACCGGAGAGTACTGGGATGAATGTCCCTTAGTCATGAAAGATGTATTAATTCAACTATACGAAATTCTCTGCAAATTTCCTTGGTGGGAAAGTTGCAGGGCGGGCGGAGAGCTCGTAGAAGTAAGATTGAGCGTAACCCGTTCTAACAACTGCAACGAAGCAGAAGCACTGGAGCGGCGCGTGTAATACAAAGCCATTTCTGTGCTCCGCCAACCCACGTACTGAGCAATCTGCTCCGGAGTACATCCCAAACCCTTGAGGGTGTATGAAATTCCTACATGAAAGCTGTGAGGGGTCTCTCCGTCATTAATGTTGGCAGCCTTAAGATACTTTTGGAGCCGTGCAGATACGGCTGACCCTCCAAACAGACGATGTGACACAAACTTTTTATGCTCCGAAGACCTAAAGAGGTACTCACCATGAAGAGGGACACCTAATGCCCCACACGCGGCAATATAATAGTTCAACCAAAAAACCGGGCAGACAGGTACATTTGGAATACGTAACAGAGCAAAGGGGCGAAACTGACCTGCACACCTCGTTTTACTAAACGTAAAGTTGAGAAGGAACCCCTCCCTATCCTTAAGGCGAAAAAGCTGATCTGCCTTCAAACGGCCCAAATCGGATGCTCTATCACCAGTGTAAAAGTCAATAACAAAGAATGTTATATCCCTGACCAGGAGGTATCTATTGAGAGGAGAAAGCGCAGAGCCTTCGGCAATAAGCCCGCGAAGATAGGCAATTAAACGGGTGAATTTGTCATAGAACAAAGGGACAGCCTGACGAGGGGGCAAAGGTTGCTGGGCTTGCTCCTCTCTTACAAACTTAAGATATTCCTTAACACAAGGATGTGCCAACGGGTTAGAAAACCCTGTACGGCCTAACCTATTGAAAATCGCTCTAAGTTTCCCTATATATGAATCGACAGTTCCGGCCGCTAGACGCTTTAGGGCAACTACAGGTCTCACTAGAGCAAGAGCGCACATGGAGTTTCTGTTTTCCCCCGCATCCTTGCTAATCAAAAACTTTACGATGTCTTCAGCGTTGCAGCAGAAACTTTCTTCGGGGTACAAGAGAGCACAAGAAACTCGACAGCTGAACTTCTAAAGAGTCCTTTTGCCGTTCATAAGGTTTGCTCCTATGCGATTCTTGGAACTCTGTAAAGCGCTTGTTGATCGAAGGCATGTCCGCATGTGGACGGGTCCCTTGCGGTGGCTCACGCGACAGGGGTTTACCGCAGGCCTGGCAAAAGTTCGCTTCACTGTCGTTTGGATAAGAGCAGGCGGGACATCGGCAGGCAGGCTTCCATGGGCGTTCGATCTATAGAGACAAGCATAAATACCTAGCTTACCAGGAGCAGACACAACGAAAAACCCACAGATCCCAAGGCAAGGGCCTAGCAATGAAATCGGGGGAGGTGCGGGAAGGGAAAAGCAACACGGCCGGGTCACCTTTCCGCCCAAGAAGAAAAGAATCTACTGCCATTGCTTGGAGTATTGCCCACCAATAGCGATGCGGGCGGAAACGAGGGACAACGATGGTAAAAGCGAAACGCTGGCGTTGATCAAAAAAGTACCGCAGCAACGGTCCCACGAGAACGAAAGGGGGAAAGACATAGACGTTATGTTCGATTGGTATCGGTTGTGCGAAAACATTAACGCCCAGAGAATACGGAGTCGGCCAAGGCGAGTAATGAGGCAAAAAGCTCCCATCCCTTCCTCTGCGACAGTTGCTGTCCAAAGACATCAAGTCAAATGTGTGTGGTCCAAACCGCGCTTGAACTTGGGCCCACGCCTCCTCGGACAAGGAACAATCAATGTCAGTCAGAGCACGGGAGGGCGCGTCAGCAATGTTTTCACTCGATGGGACATATTTCAAATGCAAAACAAAGTTTCCTGCTCGAGACATTTCTTCTATTTTTTTCAACTCCTGATTCACCAGAGAACTCCTACAACCGCCATTTTCCCAGGCTGCTCGGAGAGTCGCGTTGTCCGTCCACACATCGATTCCTGCGTTTCTGATAGAAGGGAAAAAAGAGCTCAAAGCGTTACATAAAGCCCTGGCCTCAAGGGTATTGATATCACCTTCAAGGTCGATCCAATAATCTCGTATTTGCTGGCGTAGGCCATCCTTAACCAAGACTGCTCCCCAGGCCCTCTGGGAGGCGTCACTGAACATTGTGACAGAGAGATGATGTTCCGACCGCCAAGGTAAGTGACCAGACCAATTGTCCAAGAAAATCCATTCCTGAAGTTCCTCTCGCAAAGGTCCCAGGATTGGAACAGAGAGCTTCGAATTCTTGGCAACAGCGCTGATAGCCTTGAATACCTCCCGCACATACAGCTTACAAGCCGGGATTGCGAGACTAAACGATAGCGCCTTTTCCCCGCAAACGCTGCAAGCTCTTTTGGGACGCAAAAAGATGATTCCAGGAGTTCGTCACGCAAGGCTTTAAATTTCTCCTTTTATCCAGTGGGACTAAAAAAGCTTGCAAGACAGAATCGGAGATGAAACCCAGGAATTTAACAAAAGTGGATGGCTGTGGAGAGCTCTTTGCAAGGTTAACAAAATACCCCGCTGAGATCAAAAGGAATAACAAAAGAAAGGCTGCTGCTCGTGCGAGTTGGCGACTAGGCTGGCAAACCAGTGGACCGGATAGGAATAACTGGCCCACATGTCTGTCATCAATATACTGCGAAACGGGTACGCCCAAAGACCGCGCGGCACTGGTGACGACAAGGCCAACGTTATGATATAAAAAGGCACTTGCTTTCCACCCGAAAGGTAAGTTGCAGAAAGAAAAATAATAGCTCCTCCAGGAAAAACTGAAGAATTCCTGGGAGTCCGGGTGAATCTTGAGGTGTTGGTATCCATTCTTATCATCAAGTGTTGTCTGGAAATGCCCTGGGAGGACATAACGAGGCAGGTCTGGGAGGTGGTCTAACTTGAAAGGGAGATCTTGAATCCATAAATTAAGAAAGCACTCGTCGTGGCATAAACGCGGCTTAGATGGTTCGACTGTCAAGGGGAGGACTAAATGAGGAGGAGAGCATTTGCCAATCTTGCCGTAGACTTTGATAACACCCTGAGAGACCCAGGCTAAGACTGTAGTGTCAATGAAATCGGTAAATTGATGGCAACAAGGAGAGTTCGGGAAAATAGAAATCGGCGGTACAGCGGAATCATAACTTTTCCCTTTGAAGTTGCCCTTGAAATGACGGAAGAAACTATCGACCCTCACTCCCTCTCGGATTATCTGTAGCAAATCAACTTGAGGACAAGTGTAACCGGCTGAAGAAAAGAGATCCTCCCAGAAGTCAACATGATTATGTAAGCTGCCCGCTTGGAAATAATCTGGGTGTCTAAAACGCAATTGGGCCAGGTCTGCAAGGGATGGATCTTTACTAACAAGCTCCGCCCGATGCGGTGGGGCCAACGAAGGATAAGGGTTCCCCGTTTATGTCACACCATTTGACGTCACGGCTCGGGAGCGCAAGGATTGCCCGTAGTGCAACCGCGAAATCCTGGGAAAACGGAGAACGAAAATCCAAAAATAAGAAGAGGAAGAAAAGAAGGTGGGATCCCCTATCCTTCGCTGACCCCAGCTCTGATCATAGACCAGAATAAAGGCGCTGAGAAGGCCCCCCAGGGTCAACGAAGAAATGAGGCGAAAACCAGAAAAAAAAAAACTAGGACGCTAATAACTAGGGGAAAAAATCTTTATTCCAGCCAATAAACAAGGATAATATAGGAAAAAACATATCCCATACCCTTACAATATTTACACGATGCTAACGCCTAGAATTTGCGCGGCCACAATCTCTGGCGAAATGCCCTGGTAGACCACATCTGTAACAATTAACCGAACTGTAGACATAAGGGCGTTGGCGCCTAAACTGGCGAGTACTATTACGACCTTGAAACCCAGGCTCTTCACGCTGGATAGTCTTGAGAAGCGCAGAGGACTCCTTTGCAACCTTGGCTCTAACCGGATCGCCTAAGAGGCCCATGAGCAGCCGTTTATGGGCAGAGGGGGAGAGGGCATTAGATCTTCCTTTTAATTCATCCAAAATGGCCGCGTAATAGTCTGCCTTTTCGTGGGCGGACGACCTGGCTGCCCGCACCAGGGCCTCGACGTGAGCAGAAGCCTCCCAAGGGTCATAAACAGCTTCCGGCTTCTGAAGAGCGTTGCGAACAGAGGTAAGAGCAGTGGTGACCACGTCAACGCCCTGCTTCTCCTCCAAAGCTTTCAATTTGTCTTCAAGAAGCTTAGTTCGATCGTCCGCCTAAGAGTGACGCAAAATATGAAGTATATATTAACGTCTGTAAAACATTTATATGTTATTAATTTCGGTCCCAAGGCAGAACCGAAAGATCCCGAAACGAGGATATGCCAGATCCAAAATGGACGGTTAGGCCGTATAACAATAATCATTGGTAAATAAAACCGGCTGCCGGAGCGAAACGGTTCCGGACCGCATATATGACCAATACAGGCGCCCGGAGCCGAGCGGACCTAGCCCGCAAACACAATAAACATGTCACCCCAAACAAAACGGCTCCCGGAGCCAGGCGGTCCCAGACCGCATACACAATAATATCTCACTCCAAACAAAAGAAAAAGAACCGGCTCCCTGAGCCGACCAACAAAAAATTCTTTCTAAATAAAGAACAGGCTCCCAGAGCCAAACGTTCCCGGACCGCATACACTAAATACGTGGTTTTAAACAAAACCCGGCTCCCGGAGCCGAACGGTCCCGGACCATATATAAAACAATTCGTTCCGAAACGAAAGCCGGCTCCAGAGCCGAGCGGTCCCGGACCGCATACACTAAATACTTGGTTTTGAACAAAACCCGGCTCCCGAGCTGAACGGTCCCGGACCGCATACACCAAATACTTGGTTTAAACAAAAACCCGACTCCCGGAGCGAACGGTCCCGGACCGTATATAAAGCAATTGTTCGAAACGAAAGCCGGCCCCAGAGCCGGCGGTCCCGGACAGCAAACGCAATAACTCGTGTCTTGGACAAAACCGAACATACAAAACAAAAATATTTCGTCCCAAACAAAAAATCGGCTCCCGGAGCCAAATGAGACACAAACAAGCGAAACAAAAGGACCGAGTAAAATGAAATACATATACGAACAAAGCTAACAAAAGCGAAGAGAAAAACAAAAATATGCCCTAGAGACACGTGGAACGTTAAATATGCTAAACAAAGTACTAGAAACGTTGGAGAAAAACACGAAATGCGCACAAACGGGCAGCCAAAGCTAAAAAGCGAACGAAAAGCACCAGAACTAGAAATTACCTGATTAGCAGCCGCGGGTTGCACCGCCGGTTCTGCGAGAGCTTCTGCGAGAGGTCCTGCAGGAGGTTCTGCGGGATGTTCTGGGTTAGCAGGCGGTTCTGCCGCCACCGGAGGTAAAGGCGGTAATTCTCCCGCTGGTTCCGCCATGTAGTCGAAGAAAAGACGGTTTGACGCTAGCAGAAAGTACAAGGAAACGAAGGCGGGCTGGTGTTGGTTGACAAACCGATACAAGCGAACCTCGATAAGTCGTCTCGGCGGTCGGCGCTGTGACACAGTGAAATCAAAGCCACGTGGTGTATTCTATTTATCAGGGGAGCCCGCAGTGCATTGATGCGTCCCAAAGGACGGCGGAGTATTTTACTGGTCGTTTGGCGATGCGTTAATTCATTATTCAGTGAGAATAGTTTTACGTTCGTTTGTAAGATGTAAAAATCATAGCAAGGAAAATTCTCACATTAAGATGGGACAAAGCCATTCTCGACCCCAGAGCCCTTGTCTTTTATCACATGACCTTACGGCTACAAGGGCTCTGGGTAACTCTGCGCAGCCGTAGCCAAAATCTGGCTATATGGGTTTCACAGCGCATGCTTGGGCAGTTGTGGTTTTATGCAAATTTAGATTTGGCAGTTGTGGTTTTATGCAAAATTAAATTTTAGTTATTATTCTTGTGTT